GCCCACACCGCGCTCAACCAGTGAGCAGACCGGTCTCTATATGGGATCCGAACCCTCGGCAGGAGCGCTGCCGCGCTCCCAAGCACCGCACTCTACTGAGTGCGCCACCGGGCCGGCCCACGGGGTTAGTTTTTCGTAGTCAACTTGGGTGTTGTCTATAAACACTTATGTTTCACTTCAGTGGAGGAAAGCTTCATAGGAAACAAAATTCAGCAGAATCAAGCCTAGACCCAAACCCTATACAGTAAGGGAATCTGATTATCTCCTTCCTTCCTTCTTTTTCCTCCCCTCCCTTTCTCCCACCCGCTGTTTTCTTTCCTCTCTTCCTCTCTTTCATCTTTCTGCCAATGAGATGTAATTTTAGCATCAATTGAGTATCAATTGATGGTTGATTGGTAAAGAAAATGTGGTATATAAGCACAGTGGAATATTATTCAGCCTTAAAAAAGAAGGAAATCTTGTCATTTGTGACAACATGGATGGACCTAGATGACATTATGTTAAATGTAATAAGCCAGGTCTTAAAGAAAGCATTCATAGTCAGAGGCGATTGTTGAACTCTCCTTTGCTTTGATTTCAGCAGTTTGGTACTTAAAGGCAGCTTCACGCCAGAGGCGCCACAGAAAGCAACCCTTTATTGTATCCATGCAAGACCACCAAAGACTGGCTGTACTTGCTTTTCTATGTGCCCACCTCCTGGTGGGCATATTTATCCTTTACTTCAGATAAGGAACATTTATGAAGAATGTGTTAGATGCTAGGCTGTATCCATTTCTTTTATGATAAATAGATGATATAGAAAACAAAACACCATAGCATGACTCACCAATTCCTTAATATTGTATCTTTTCATCAAGGAGAGGATTTTCCTTGCTCAGTTCTCTTTTATTTATTTATTTACTTATTTATATTTTCTTTTTGTGACCAGTAAGGGGATCGCAACCCCTGGCTTGGTGTCGTCCACACTGCGCTCAGCCAGTGAGTGCACCGGACATCCCTATATGGGATCCGAACCCGCGGCGTGAGCACCACTGCGCTCCCAGCGCCGCACTCTCCCAAGTGAGCCACGGGGTTGGCCCCTCAGTTCGCTTTTTTTTTTTTTTTTGTCTTTTTCGTGACCGGTAAGGGGATCACAAGCCTTGGTGTGGTGTCGCTGCACTGCGCTCAGCCAGTGAGCGCACTGGCCATTCCTATATAGGATCCGAACCCGCGGCGGGAGCGTCACTGCGCTCCCAGTGCCGCACTCTCCCGAGTGCGCCAGAGGGCCGGCCCCTCAGTTCGCTTTTTAGCTGGTTAATTCCCCATCTTTTTTTTGCTGGCTGGCCGGAACATGGATGCAACTAAGGACCTTGGTGCTCCCAGCACCATGCTCTAACCAACTGAGCTAACAGGCCAGCCAGGTCTCCATCTTTTAAACGCAATTGCTTACAAGAATGTACTAGAGGAATTTAATGACAATATCTTTAATGGCTTAAACCCTCTTAGGAGCTGGGTTCTTTATGAGTAGAACTCAACAACTTCAACAGGGAGCTGGTATTAGCTACAATTTACAACGAGAGGACTGAGTCTGAGACAGCTGTTAGGGGCACTCAGTTTGCAAGTGCCTGATCTCTCATTTGAACTTAGATTTATTTTCATTCTCTAATACTCCAATGCCTTTCTAAGTATGGCCACTCTCAACCCTTTATGAGGTAAGACATTTCAAAGCTGGACTTTGTGTTTCAACATGTGCTAGGAAAAAACATATTCAATTACAAGCATTTAAAATTCTTATCTCTCTGCCTTCCAAGGAGCATTGGTCTCCAGAAAGATTTAAGGTTTGCTGCAGTGGGATCAGACTGTAAATGAGAGAGCATAGTACGCAAATAGACAGGTCTGTATAAGAAAGAATATGGGTGGCCTCGAGGTATTGTGAGAATGAGGGAGAGATTAAAACAGCTGCTATGAGGAGTGGGACCCTCAGAGGTGGAAGAGGTGTCGGAAGGGGGCTTTTAGGAAAGTTAGCAGCATCACCTTCCTGTTGCGCCGAGACACCGCCAGAAAAGCCTTATATTACTTTTCAAAGCTTCTCAGAGTTGGGTTTGAGATTTTTTGTAATGCAACACTGGGGTTCTCTGGGCTGCATGTAGCACGGTGCCTCCCTTCCTGGTGACCCATTTGCAACAGCCCTCAATTGTTGACTTGGATTGCACTAGAGCAGTGGTTCTCAGCCTCCAGTGCATCAGAGCCACCTGGAGGGCTTGTTAAAACACAGAGAGTGGACCCTCCCAACAGAGTGTCTAGGGTGGGACTCGAGAATCAGCACTTTTAGAAAGTTCCCAGGGGATGCTGGTGCTGCTGACCCAGGGACCCCACTTGGAGAACCACTGTGTTGGAGAACCCTGTGTCTCTCCTCTTTGTCCATGTGTCCCCAGCTGCAAACCCTAAATGCTTTGCTCCATGGAGAGTCTGCCTTCTGTGTCCTTTGTCCATCTAGATAGCCTAGAATTGGTTTCAATCCTTTCTGTCTCTCTGAGCACCCAGAAAGGAAACAGGTTCCTCCCCCCCAGTCCCCTCCAGTTCCGTCTCTCACTTGCTCACCAGGATGGCATCACCAAGGGGAGGGTCTCAGCAAGCCTTCCTCACTGCCACCAGAGGAAGCTGAGGTCAGCGCTAAGCCCCAGGAAGGGCACGAGATCCACTCAACTGTGTGAGATGGGTGAGCCTGATGTCTATGGAAGGAACTTGTATGTCCCCCGCCCTCAGCTTGGGGAAGGGGAGTGGGGGCTAGGTGCACAGCATGATATTTATAATTTGGGGGCTCCTGGGGACTCTACTCCCGTGACTCCTTGTTAGGGAGGAGGATGCTAATTATTTTGTTTTTACTCTTGCTCTGTGTGACTTATTCTCTGGGTGTGTGTGCGTTTTGGGTTGATGGGATGGGTGAGGAGATGGAGAAGCCACTAGGGATTCATTCTTACTAGGATACCTCTCTAGTGTCCCCTCCCAGCCTGGACTGAGCCTCATGGCAGTTCTTGGGCAGGATGGTCTGGCAGGGAAGGTCCCAGCCCTCAACAGGGCACCGGGATGCCTGAATCGAAGATGTCTCTTTGTTCATTCCATCATGATGGAAACTCCAAGAGGGAAGGAGATTTATACTGTTCAGTTCATCAAGGAGAGCTTCTGGAAAGTCATAAACAATCAATCAATATATATTGAATGAATGAACTTATCAAACACTTCTTGGTCACCCACCATGGGTCTGGCACTGTGCTTGGTCCTAAGTTTCAAACCATGTCCTTGCTAAAAATGCCTCCGTCAGCCACACAGAGGGCTCCGTCTGCACTAGCCTGTAAGATATTGTGAAGCTTTTCATGAATTTTTGAGGTACCACTGAGTGCGTATCTCTCTTTCTCTCTCTCTATATATGTGCATGTTGTATGTGTGTGTGTGTGTGTGTGTGTGTATAAAATAAGGAACTGGCTCCTAAGCTATGGAGGCTGAGAAGTACTGCCATCTGCTGCAAGC